TGGGGAAGGGACTAAACAAAGACTTCCTAATTTATGTGTGAGTGCTCTAAATATCAGTTTATTATATAAATTATGGGCAGTACAACAACTGTAGTTGTAATAGAAGTGAATGAGTCCTGTTCAGTTCAGTGTAAAGCTGGTTGTAGGCACCGACCTGATTTAGTCTAGATATCAGGAAAAAACTTCTTCACAGTAAGGGTGGCCAAAATTTGGAATGGGCTTCCAAGGGAGGTGGTGCTCTCCCCTACCTTGGGGGTCTTTAAGAGAAGGCTGGACAGGCATCTGGTTGGGGTCATCTGACCTATCTCGGCTGGATAGGCATCTGACCCCAGTACTCTTTCCTGCCTAGGCAGGGGGTCGGACTCGATGATCGGTTGAGGTCCCTTCCGACCCTAGCATATATGAATCTATGAAACCCTCAAAAGACGATTACAGTCAGTAGATTTTAAATGGCTGAATGTACTTAAACCCAAAGGAGTGAGACATACCCCTGTCGTCAACATTTCTCATGCTAGTTCTAGGAGGATCCTGACTTAGGTATTTTGTATCTCATTGGGTGCATCTACACATGCATTAATGCATGTTTTCGAATGCACATTAAATTTAGTACCTCCAATATGAGGTACTAAATTAATGCGCATTAGGATGCCCTAATGCACATTAGCACATTTGCATGGTGATGCTTAATGCATAATAGACTATTTTACTGCACATTGGCGTAATGTCACATTTTTTACATGATGCTTTAATGCACAGTAAAATAGTCTGCTGCACATGTAGATATGCCCATTCTGAGGTGACTTACTCCATGCCCTGAATAGCAAGCCTGGATATCCAACACAATGTTCTGGATTCTACCCATGGAAAAACACACTTAAATATTAGATGTCACGTGGCCTGCCAGAATGAAGCCCTTGAGTGGGATTTCTCCCAGAAAGACGATTGTGGGTGGAATAATTAGGGAAGAGTGGTGATGGTGATGGGGATAGGGGAAGGGGTGGGGGGCATAGAGAGTTTCTCTTTGGAAACACAGCAAAAAAAATTAAGTGATTTTTGCTATTTTCATGAGTGTTAAGAAACATTTTTGTCCAACTGAATAAGCTTGTATTTACAGCTTAAAATTATGACCTAAATTATTTCAGGCTTGCGTTAGAACATTTTGTTTATTCTAAACCATTTAAATTTTGTATGGTTGTGATTATATGGGCATTTAAGACTTGGAATTGTATCTGTGCTCAGTCAGAATGCATTTTAGTTTGGAAATAACACATTCATATATAGCCAAACAATTAGAGTTTTGTGATCTTTATTAAATTCCATTGTTCCCAATTTTTAATGATCAATAAATAATAATAATAAAAAAAACCCACTGCATATTTAAAGGTACATTAAAGTTGACCATAGTTACCAGGGAACTTGGTCTTAAAAATATTATATCTTTCACTTATACTGTAATATTGTTTCAAGGTTCATGAATATTTGTAATTTAAAGAATTCTCAGATATGATTCAAATTGAACTGGAAAGCTGTATTTCCAATATCTTCTTTTCACAGTGATTAGAGAGCTAGTTGGATATTAAATAATAAAAGAAACAAAGCTTCTTCTTTGACAAAAGCATTCCTTGAGAAGGGGATGTTTTTGTGAACAATGTAAAGGTGTTTACTAGACCATTTATTTTAACATATTTTAACATTATTTTACATTATTTTAACATATTTTACATTGTTGATGTAAGTAGGGATTTGCCAAACCTGCATCTGAATTTAGGATATTTATGAATAAGTAAAACCTATTGTCTTGCTGCTTCTTGTAGCTCTGTGAATAATTTGCTCTTGTGAAGTATCCATGTTAGATTTTTCTACTGTAAAGAGTACAACATTTAGTTTACTTGTGGTAAGTGAGATGTTTTTGTAATTTAATCCTTACCTTCTAGATTCAACTAAAACCAGTATGTACAATTTAATGATTACTGCAATATTAATAAGATTAGAAATAAAATTCAGAAGATTAGAAATAGGTACCCTTTAATGCCACTCTTGATACATTTATATAATCCCAGTACCTTTTAAGAGAGTTTTGGGAACATCTCAAGGAAAAAAAACCTCCTATACAGTATTTACCCAAATTTAAGACAACCCTGAATTTAAGATGCTCCTCCAGTAAAAAGATTCTATACATGGAAAGTTTATAATTTATGATCTTCCATGTATAGAATTTAATTATTGGAAGGCTGTCTTTAATTCATTCATTCAACCACTGCAGTGGTGCAGGTAGTGGGGTGGCAGGTTGTGCCAGTTGGTCAAGCAGCTTGCCCCCTACTCATGCCTGCTGCCCTGCCACCTCTGCCCCTTGTCTGTCCCTCCCCACAGCCTTGGGGTCCCCCCTCCCTCCTGGCCTCTGATTTTCCCTTCCTTCTGGCCTGTGCTCCACACAGGCTCCACCCCTGTTCTAGCCTGGGGCACTGAGCATGGCCCCAACCCAGCCCCTGTAGCAACTGTGCAGGCTGCTATGGGTCTGGGCTGGGGCTGTACTTAGTACCCTATGCTGCAGGGTGGAAAGGGCCTGCTGACATGAAGCAAAGATAATGGGGGGAGATACAGGGCCAGGTGGGGGAGAAGAGTCTGTGTGTGTGTGGGGGGGAGATGGGGGAAAGATGCTGGAAGGAGGAGATGACTAGGTGCAAAAGGGGAGGGAGGGCAAGTAGAAGTGGCCCTGACCTGCAGTAGGGGCTGGAGCCTTAGCCACAGAACCTACCTGGCTACCCTCATGACAAGGGGCTTTCCCCCTCATGTTAAATGGGGAAAAAAGCCTAATCTTGAAATTGAGTAAATATGGTATCTATAACCACAGGTGTACATGTAAGCATGTATGCGAGTGTATGCATACATACACACATACATCACCCCATACATGCACTGATATACATGTTTGTTTCTTTTTCCCACTGAGGCATGTGTGTGTGTGCATGTGTGTGTGGTATACATAGGTATATATATAGCCATGCATGTGTCTACACATGTGTATGTATGTATGTATGTATTTGTGTATATATGTATATGTAATAATAAGGGCTTTGCTTGATGCTCATAGCAAGAGTTTTGCATGCTGACTTTATAGTAGGCTGGTATTACAGCATGTAGCTTTTTATTTATTTATTTATTTTTTCACTCTTGCAAAGCTTTATTTAAGGATACTCGCAAAGGCCGGCAATAAAACAAAGCAAAAAGGATGATCACTTCACATCGGCTCTAGGCAGCAGCCGCTACCCCGCATAGTTCGCCTGGCCCCGGAGTGTCTCGATCCCGGGGATGCAATAGCCTGCGCCGGGCCCTGTGCAAGTCAGGATTCTTGCCAGAGTTTGAGGAACTACCATATGTTAAGAACGTACAGCTTATATAGTCTGGAGTAAATAACATTATCTCGAACTAGGGATTTGGTTATCTCAAGCTAAGAATTTAGGGATGAGTTGTGATCCAACACACCTGGTGTTTACCACATTCCGCTGTATTACAGCATTCTACTATCTAGGTTCATGGTTCGGTCACTCTTACAAAGCAAAAAGCTACGTGCTATAATACCGGCCTACTATGGAGTCAGCATACAAACCTTGCTATGAGCATTAAGCAAAGCCCTTACTATTACAGTATCTACACATGCACACACATGTGCACACGTGTGTGTGTGTGTGTGTATGCATATGTGTGTATGCATGTATGTAAATACATGCAAGTGTATGTTTGCATATGGGGTGTGTGTATGTGTAAATGTATGTACATACATATACAACACCACTGTGTGTGTGTGTGCATGCATGCATATAGGTGTGTGTGTGCATATAAATATGTGTGTATACTTATATAAACACAAACACTCACATATGCCAATCCAGATTCATTTCTGTAATATATACTCTGTGTGTGTGTGAATGTGTGTGCGCGCGCACGCATAACATATATATGACCAGTAATTTAAGGGCACATAGCAATATATGCAATCTTGGGAATAGATATTGAATCTATTATGGGATCAGGCCCATGTTATGTATATATATATGGGCTGACACAACACCTGGGGTTGATGGTTCCTAAAACAATTCTTTCAGGACAGGAAAACTTTGAAAAATTCAGAAATAATGTAAAAATATTTACTTTTCACAAATCCAGCAAACCCAAGACTCCTGATTTTGCAAATGGTGGGGAGCATTTCACACAGCTCTATAATAGAAACATCAACCAGAAAAGACTAGTTATCTCTAGTACCAGCTGCTGAGCTTGGTAGAGCTTTCTCTTGCATTGTATTATGTGAAATGGATATCCAAACACTGAGGACAAAACTCTTGAAGATGGGAATTGCTACCAAGCAAATATAACAGAAGAATTTTGTCCTTTGTGCTCCCCAATTTTATCCTGCAATCTTTATTTAAGGAAAGCTCTGATTCACTGGATGGAATTCTGTTTGAATGGGGATGGCAAGATGGGATCCTACACAAAAAATCCAGCCAGTGTCTTCTTTGAATACCTCAATTCTGGGAAAGGAACAAAGCATAATTGTTGAGAAAGAATGGTGAATGCAATTACCCATTGTTGCAGAATTGTCAGGCCTTATTTGTAATTGTATAAATATGTATACACATTCATTTAAATAACTTAAATATTTAGCCACATTGTTCTCTTGCAGTGCTCAAAAGACACTGATAACTCAATAACAGACTTCCTCCATCACAACTGCCGTTAAAACAAACATGCCACCAACTACTGTACATACAGATACTACCATCAGACTTTTAATTTATATGTGGATATGAAGGAATCAAGTCTCTTTTGACAACATATTGGTCAAAGCCTTTATATAACAATGGAATAAAGGAATAGCATTTGCTCTTTTTTTAGTACAGCAGAGAAATTAAAAGAAAAGAAAAGGGGAGTTTGGATCTTAAGAGATGAACAAGAACTTGTCAACATTTCCTATAAAACTTGAACATTCCAACAAACTTGTGTTAGTATATTGCCTGGCCAAACTAGTAAAAAATAAATTGCTTTTGCTTGTTTTTATGATTTTCCCAGATTTCCAGTGTCAATAGTAAAGAATTGGAAGTATGTTTTTCCCCTTGGGGAATGGCACCATCTGGGACCCAAATGATGGTGCATCTCCACCAGGAAAAGAAGGAGGTCCTGCTTGAATAGCTTGGCCTTATTGATTTGGTGCCTGAGAAGTCCAAATGCTAATGCTCCTAATGATCAGCCACTCCTTTTGACTTTTGGTAACGAGTATTCTCATGCAGTTAATATCAAACAGTACTTTGTGCTCCACATCTGTCATTTCAAAGTTTCCATTTTTGAACTCTCCTAGTCTCAAATAAGTAGTACATTGCCTTCCCTTTTTGCTCCCTACAATTTTTTCCCCTACTTCTAGGGCTCCGTGATGCAAAATGTCATTTTGCCGGTCTTCAGTTCCAGTGACAACTTTAATTTTGCTGATTTTAATAGGCTTTTCAAACACAATCACAAAGAAATCTCCCGTAGAAGGAGCTTTGCCCCAGAAGTACTCATCAATGCTACTGTAAGCTTTGCTTGCTTCATAGTTTTCAAATACATTCATGTTGGTATGCAAATTTGCAGGTGGGTTGTCAGGTATGTCAAATGAATCCTCTTCAAAGTCATCATCCTTCAGCTTGTTCTCAGCTCCTTTGTAAGATGAATAATATCCCATGTGCTGGAACAGAGATGGCTTAAAGCGGATGACTTCCTTTTGAGCTAGCAGCCCACGGAAGTGGATTAGCAGCCAATCACAAGGCATTTCCTGGTAAAACATCAACAAAAAGTGGGCCAGGCGTGGGAGGTCATGGGTGTGGTACAGCTTTCCAATATAGCCCAATTTGGAAAACTCCAAAGTTACCCAGTAAGATCCTTCTCGTGAGGTAATTACTTTCTTAACAGCAGTCAAGAAGTTTTTTGAGCATCGAACATCATCTTCAAGCATCACATAATAATCAGAAAGATTAGCACAGAAGTTAAGCAGGAAAGCATAATCGACATTTTGTTTGGATCGGAACTTCACCCGGTCTTCTGGGTCATTGTAATTTCTCTTAAGGCCATCCAGGACTGGATAGTACTCCTCAGGGACATGGATAACTATTAACCTACCAGCAATGATGTGATGGGCAAATTTCTGTGAAATATCCTGGACCATCCCTTCACACCAGGAGGAATCAAAGTCTGCAAGTTGCACAACCACTGCAATTTCCTTAAGTTCCTCATAACTTGATTGCTCAAATATGGACTTGATTGTCTCAAGCAAATAATTTCCCTTTTTCCGTTTCACTGATGATAGTCCAATTGTAAGATATCCTATGCAAAAGAGAATTTAGAATGAAAGATTAAATGCAAGTTAATATGACTTTGAAAATCATGTAGCAACAAAGCTTCCCTCCAGGGCTACTATTGCATGAAACCTTCTGAATGATAAACTCTGAAAAATTAGATACATGGATTTATTAAACTGTATGCAACAAAAGATATTTTATGCTATTTCATGAAAGAAGAACTATATTGCAAGAACATTGACAAATTCTAGTACAATTTTCTTATACTTTCTCTCCATTGAAGGACTCAATTTGTATGAGAACAGGGACTGTCAAACAAAAGCCTCAGACCCCCAAATCCACTCTAGGGATCAATAGGTCATGATCCTGGGCTCCTCCTTCACTAGCAAGTTGGGCTGGGGCTACCAATAAGCTGATTGTCAGCTTCAGCCCCAGTATTGCACCAGGGACTTAGATTTACACCTAGGTAAATTCCTAGGTGTAATTTGGGGTTGGGGCTGACAACCGGATGATGTCAAAGCCCCACACCTGGCAGCTCAGGCCAGTCTGCCAGGGCTGGATGATGAGAGGCTCCTGAGCAGGGGAGCCAAAGGGCTTTTTCCCTCTGGGGACTTTAAACAGCACCAGGAACCTCTGATTTCCTGTGCCTGGCAGCCTGGGCAGAACTGCTGGGCATGGGGTATAAAGTCCCCAACAAGTGAAGCCTTTTGGCTCTCCCCTCTGCACCCTACCCACACTCCCATGCCCAGGCTAGCAATTGTCAGTCATCAGGCCAGGACTACACTGCGGCTAGTTCAGGACTGTGGTGCAGTCCTAGCCTCAGGACCAATGATCAGATGATTATCAGCCCCAGTCACTCACTACATTTAAGGCACTATACAAACCAGTCACAAAGACATTCTACGTGCAACATTTTAAGGCTTGTTTGTTATTTTATGCATCCTAAGGGTGTGTGTAACACCCTTACCATTTATGCCCCAATTAATACATTAATTGTGTCATATAAATGTAGCATGTAAAGGGGGCCTGATAGTCAGAAAACATTTCCTAATCTCCAACATACATTTTCACTGCCACAGCTTGCTCTTAGTCCTGTCCCCTATGGTCACAGAGAAAAGGCTATCTACTTGGCTTTGGTGAGGCCACAGCTGGAATACTGCATCCAGTTCTGGGTGCTGCACTTCAGGAAGGATGTGGAGAAGCTTAAGAGTCCAAAGGAGGGCTACATATATGGTTAGAGATCTGGAGAGCAGGCCATATGAGGAGAGGCTGAGAAACATGGGACTATTCAGCCTGGAGAAGAGAAGACTCAGAGGGGACTTGGTGGCCTATAAGTATATAAGCCTATAAGTATATAAGGGGCCCACATCAGGGCCTGGGTGAGCATCTGTCCACCAAAGCACCCCAGGAGAAGATAAGGAATAATCATCATAAATTGCTAGAGGATCGCTTTAGATTGGACATAAGGAAAAAATTCTTTATGGTTCAAGTGTCCAGGGTCTGGAACAGACTTCCCCCAGAGGTGGTACAAGCACTTACTCTGGAAATCTTCAAAAAGCATTTGGATGCTCACCTTGCTGGGGTCATCTAACCCCAGCAGTCTTTCCTGCCCGAGTGCAGGGGGGGCTGGACCTGATGATCTTGTGAGGTCCCTTCCAGTCCCTAACACCTATGACTCTATGAATCTCCTTTATAATCACCTTTTAGGTATTTGAAGAGTGTTATCAAATCCTCTCATAGTTCTCTCTGCTCTAGACTAAATAACCCTATTCCTGTTTATTTTTTTTCCTCCTTTTCTTTTTCTTTGAGACAAGTAACTCAGACTTTACATTCAAGTGTAATAGAATTTTAAATATTTGTGTGTTCCTATAAGTAATGTCTCTGCATTTGCATTTTATGAGTGAGATGAAAATTACAGATATGTGCCATGAATTACCATCTGTAGTACTTTGAAATAACTACCTCTGCACTTATGCCTGCAGCAGAAGCCAACTCTTTTTCAGTTATTTGTTGAGAGATACTACACCTCTATGATTATAATAGCTCTTTGGATGGAATGCCATCTTTCTCAAGGTATCAGTAACAGCACTCTTTAGAGAATCTGTCCATTCCCATGTATACTCATAAAATCATTTACAACTATACATCTTCATTTTTGTTGACCCACACTTACTGTAAATATTCTATTTTATAACTTTTTCAAATATGACCCTGGATAAAATGTAAAGACAGTGATACCCCCAAATGATCTAACTACTGACTGATTGGGGTCCACTCAAAACAGCATTGGAGTGGAGTATAGTACAAATCCCAGCAGCCAGCCCATCAGTCTTTCAAACAAAACTTTCATTTACAACTTTCCCCGGTGGAAGCAAACACACTTTTTATTTTCTGATTTATATTTAGATTTATTAATCTTCTCAGTTCCAACCTTCCTTTATTTTGATTTTGTGTGAAGTGGTTGATTTGGTATCTAAATACATCTGTATAAAAGCTAAATACTGGCATATTTCACCCGCAGGTTTGAAAGTCTCAAATCCTGCCTAAAGTTGAAATAATCAGAATATTTAGAGGTTTCCTACCTTGAGATTGGGTGGGAAAGAACCTACCCCACTCTCTTGCTGTCTAAATATCAACTTGATCTCTCTATTGACCCAGCTAATGGAATAACAAGTGCACTCAGTGTATGATTATTTCCCAGGTATGGAGTCTACCATCACTGAGGACTCAATGTCCCACCCTTTGCAACTCACAAAAACTTACTTTCTTCCCCTGCTTCATCCTTATGAAGAAATATCTTGAGGGTTCCATAGAACAGAAAACTCTGAAGATTTCACACAGATTTCTAAAATAACTTATCTAATGAAATTCAGATTCTCGTTACTTACTTTTCCTTGGCAAAGGCGTGCCAGCTAGGTAGCGATAGGAAACATTTATAGATCCTGAGAAATTAGATAAGTCTTTAAAAGTGTGAACATAACGCTCTGAATTAAGCTGGTGTGTGGCCGCTTCTCTGATTAATTGCTTGTCCCCTTCCTATAAGAAAAAAAGAAAGAATAGGAGGGGAAGTGGGACAGAAATCATTAATGCCATCTGGAAAGAAAACGGGGGGTAAAAAGTTTCCCAAAATACAATTTTTTCAAAGTTATTTTTCTTCAGCTATGTAGATCACACTCATTTTTAAGAAATGCACTACCTGAATATTACACATATTTGGTTACAGAAAATCTACCATATCCTCCATATTACAGCATCAGAGTAAGAGGGAAAAAGGTCTTTTTTTGGACAAAAATATTGGAGACGTATTTTTTCATGGAGAGTTCAGCGCACTTAAGATTGCCATTGAAATGATGCAGCATTAAATTTATGACATAGTGTATATCAGTGATGGATGAAATGAACCGTCTGGGCAATGAAGTGGGGGAGATTTTAAAAAAGCTTCTTGTGATGTAAAAAAACCCCAAACCTGTTGAAAAAATGAAACATGAAATAATGTTCTTACATCTAAAGTTAGACACTACCATTTCTCTAATACCCTAATATTTCCTTAGACCCTTGATCTGCAAGGCAAATAAGCAGGCTGTGCTATGCTAAAGGATGATGAAGCCTACTCTTAATTCATCCCCAGCCAACATTATTGAAGAGCACAGATTTATGGCACTGCCTCCTTCCCATCATCCTTTGAGTTGAGACTTTCCCAGACACAGGTGAGGTCAAAGACTTAAGTATGTAATGAAAGCGAGACTGCCTTGGCCTAGCAGCTCACCATCCCTGGACATTCACAAGGATTGGGAACAACCTAGCCATTTATACTGAAGGAGAAACTAGTCATCCAAGTTGTGTTATCATGAAACTTAGGGTAAAGGTGGGAATGCTCATCTAGTCTATACCGGGTCCATCTCCATGTGTCCCTGACTTCACAGTTGGTACTGCACAGCCATCTAGTACTTTCTAAAGCAAGTCCTAGATGACTGCATGGTACTCACTGGTACTGCACAGTCCTGGTGGTGCACAGGTCGTTTCCAATCCTACTGCACAGTAGCAACGAGCTATTGCACATTAGCTTGCTGCTATTGCACGGTAGCAGCTGTGTCAACTTTAGTGCCCACCAATGCTATGTCATTGTAATGTCTCATGTAGATGTGCCCACTGTGTATTTTTGGCCTCTGGAAGAGAAAGGATATAAGGAAGTTTCATGTTTCTGCTTCTTTGTTTAACTAAAGTAGCCAAACTGATTGAGAGAGCATCATACAGCATATGTACAAGCATTACATTTATATTGACCTAACCAAGGCATTCATGGGGCTTAAATTGCCCCCAAAGTAGTGTACTAGTGCCCCAGGAAGTGAACTAACTTTAGATCCTACTTCCTTGACCCTGACAATTTTATTTTTTGGCCTCCCTCCAGGCCAGGTAACCCCTTGCGGACGAACCAACTGCCACTGCAAACCTGTGAGCCTTCCCTGAACCTGCCGATCCCTTTGGCTCTTTTAACCCCTCCATGGACCTGCAAACCCACCAGCACCTCCACCTCACCCTCCGCACGAGTCACTTACTTCAGACTGCCTAAGCCACTGCTGCTCCTGGTTTAGATTTAAAGTAAACTGCCTACACCTAAACTGGGTGCAGCGAATGCTTGTTTGTATGCATAGTCATCAATCATATTGCTAACATAAACAGACAGTCTAGTAATAAAGCGTATTTATTTTTAATGGTATTATTCTTCAAAAATTGGGATGTGTCAAGATATTTATTTTGCAATAGAAAGAAACATTTCCAGAAATCTATCTTCTAAGGTTCATTTTAGGTTCAATATTTCTTCTTTTATAGAAGAAATAATACACTGCTCAGCTGAACCAAAATCTTTTGGCTAACTTCCAGGGGCATGTACCTGAACTGCTATGATCACTTGATCTGCAAGGTCTCCCTGGGTAATTTCTTTCTAGGACTGCTATGCTACCTTGCATTAACTGATAAGTTATGACATCAAGCTTTATGTTTATCCCTTTCCAGATTAGAATATAAATAAATGTATTAGCTAGAGATTATGTCATGATTCCACTGGATTTACTTTTAGAGTGGGTCAGAATATTTTGGCCAGAGTATTTTTTTCAAGGAAAAATACCATTTTTATTGAACCCCAGGCCATTCTTAAAATTCTATGTTCGGTAAACAATAATTTTAGAAAAATGAAGTGCTTTTACCGTAGAATTTTTACAATATAACATTACAAGCTTTCATTTCAAACAAGTTTTTTTCAAGGAAATTCTTTATTTTTCATAGAAAAATATGTAAAAAACTTTTAAGAGGATATTATCAGAACAGAATTTTATAATCAAAACCAAACATTTCAACTCATTGGAAACAAAATTTTCATTTGAATACAATTTTATGGGGAATTACAAATACTTTGTTTTCCTTGGAAAACATTTTGGAACTGTGGAATATTCCATGAAATAGAAAAGGTCTGGGTTCCCATCAGCTTTGGTTACCCTTGAAGTACTTAGCTGATCAGCTGGATCTGCTGGGGACTCTTCTGATTTTTCTGTGTTGTGTTTGGCTTTCACTTGCAAATTCAAGGTAGAGTACACCAAAAGGCAAGGAAAGGAGTAGGCAATCACTAGCATGTGCTACACCGCATTTGCCTGCACTTGTGAGATTCTTCTGATTATCTAAGAGTGCTAGGTGCCCCTCAAGAGAAGCTCCACTCTTCTAAGGATTCAGTGAAAACTGCAAATCTACTAGTATTGTTACAGTTTCCAAAATGATGCTTAAGTATTTACATTTGAGACAGAAAGGCATAATCCATTTCCCAAATCATTTAGAATCCAATTAGTCAATAATTGAACTATGCACACTTTGTGATTCAGTTAAGTGAATGCAGTGCTCATGAAAAATGATCTATTGATCAGATATAGCTCACACTGCTGCAAACTGTGTGGTGCCCTGCCAGTGGTCCTCAACACCGCACAGTATTTATGTGAACAGGAGTAATTCTACTAAGGCTGCTAACGTGAAATTTTGCTCTAGTATCCCACAGCTGGCATGGGCACTGAAATGGAGATTTCACTTTATGCTTCTCTAAATACTACACTTGGAAAAAGTAGTGAATGAGTCTCCTAGGGACATGCAAGGGTTTCTATTTGAAATCTGAAAGTGTTAAATTACATTCCCCCTTTTTGAAATGGTTTTATTTCATTAAATTCCTGTTTTCACCTAGGGAAAAGGGTATCACATCTATATTTCTCTGCTGGGCTGGGAGGACTGTAGAGAGGGAAGAGCTGGGATCACATGAATTATGTCAACTGAAGGAGCATTGCCATGGGCATCAGGGGTAGAAAAACCTGACCAACTCTGAAACAGGAGGACCTTGCAGTGCTTTCATATGTAGTCCTTACACGTGCTTTGTCCTACAAGGTAACTAGTAGGGCTGTGAGAAACAGCACCGTTCTGTTTCGACTTGAGTTTCGAGGTTTGGACAGAACAGTGTTTCGTTTTGAATTTCATTTTGATTTGAAACAGCTGTTCTGTTTCAATTTGTCAAAACAGTGACACTGTTTCAACGCTGTTTCAATGTTTCGCCCGTTCGCTATAATGGGGCAGCTTGAAACAGCCTCTCTCATCCAGCAGGCAGATGGGGGCCCGCAACCCCAGGAAGGCTGTGAGGCCTGTGCCAGTCCTTCCGGAGCTTCAGCCCCTGATCTGCCTCCCAGATGAGGGAGGGAAGCCGGGCACTGCTGCCTGGGACCGGGGAGCTGGGGAAGGAAACTGAGCCCAATCACTTAATTCCCCTCCCCGGTGCTACGATTGGACTGGGGAAAGGAATTCAGCCCAGCTCAGCCTGATCGTAGCACTGGGGACAGGAACTGAGTGATCAGGCTCAGTTCCCTTCCCCAGCCCAATCACAGCACTGGGGAGGGGAACTGAGCCCGGGCTCAGTTCTCTTCCCCTGTGCTGTGATTGGCTTCCCACAGCCTGGCCTAAGGAGGTGGGGAGAGTCAAGGCTGTGCTCCTGGCTGAGTCACATGAAGCTGTGGAGCTGCTGGAAGCACAGCCCTGATTCTCCTCTGTCTCCCACCACCTGGCTGCTTCGAAACTTTCAAAATGTTTCGACTAGCCTCGTTTTGTTTCAAGGCTGTTTCAAAGCCCTTTTGTTTTGATTTGATTTCACTGTTTCAAGCTCAAAATTAGTCGAAACAGTGTTGGATCGAAACAGCCGGTGAAATTTTGCACAGTCCTAGTAACTAGTGAGATTATTGTTTTTGAATTCCCTATGTTTAAACTGCTGATCTTATACCTTACCAAACAAAATATCACACAGGTTAAAGGAACTGTCAGATATGACAAGAGAATCTAAAAAAGAAAAAAAAAAGGCAGCAGCTAACATTTGAACAATGGTTGATGGTCCATAAATAGGGTGACCAAATTATTTTGAAGGAAATCCAGGGTGGGGCAAGGAAATCTGGGACAGGGGATGTCACATGCCCCCTCCTCTCCCTGACTCTGTGGCTCCCAGGAGTCTTGATGATGGGGCAAGGTGGAGCAGGACAGAGCGAGGCCTGCAGCCAGGCTCCATACCCAGTGCACAGAAGCTGGACCTGACTGGGAGCAGCCCCTCTGCAGTGCCCTCCAGACTCCACTAGTCTGTGCTGCATGGCCACACAGCATCTGTCCCACCATTGCCAACAGTGCCCAGGGCCACCATGTGCACCTGGGCCTTGGCAGCAGCCACAGCAGTATGGCAGAAGGCTGCTGGTGGTGGGCAACCATCCTGGCTACTCCCACGTAGGTGCCTGAGCTGTGGCCCTGGCTGCCTCCTCTGGCCCTCCCTGCCTCAGGACGGAGGAGAAGTGTGACTGGAGTGCTGCTACAAATCTGGGACTTATGCTTCAATTTTAGCCGACCTGCTGGGACGCCAGGGCAGCCTATGAAATCTGGGACCATCCCAGTCAAACTCTATACTTAAAGGTATTAGGAGATCTAGGAGAACTGTCAGGAAAAAGTAAAAGATTTAGCTTTAGTTACATGGGCTCAGCCAGATCTGTGATAAGAAAAAGCAATTAAATAAAGTAAACTTTTTTTTTAAAGGCTAATTAAGAACAAAGCATTGAATTTTCTTAGGAGTTGGCAAACAGAACTGGAAATTATTTAGAAAACAAAACAAAACAAAAAAAGAAACCATGAAAAAGACTGTAAGCGATACTTTAGAAGGCACATAGGGGGGCTTCAAAGAAATGAGTGAAAGGAGGAGAGAGTATTGTTGTGTAAAAATCTGGTACAAACCAGGTTAAATTTTATCACAACCATGACAAATAAGATACTATACAAAATCTTAATGCATGCGGTGCTGCTAGAGGAGGTTGCTAGAGGTGGATCTAAATGCCCAAAGCTGCTCTCATGCCTTCTGCCTCAGTTGTGCATCTTTGCTGATATTCATGAGCATGCTAACCTGGTTATACTGCTTAACCATAGGCTTTGGTGTGAGTAATGTGACAACTTTCTTGGCAGCACTTCCAGGCTTGCCACAGAAACAGTGCAGACATGTCTACAGAAAAAAAAACACAAAAAAACCAGACCTCCTGACTCTCATTTCATCATGCTGTGCTATCATGTTTTGTTGTGCTCTCTTGCTGTGCTATGCTTGACTTTGCTCATATGATCGTTTGCAGAATCTGTGTCTGGAGAAGTTATATGCCCTTTTGTCATGGCCTAATATCCACACAACCATTACTCAGTATTACAGTTTGTTTATATATTTGTATTTGATCTTGAATTGTGCTTTTACACAATTTTAATTATCTTAATTGCATCATAATTTCACTAGTTAATGACTGAAATGCCTAACTCGGTTCCTTTAGAAAACCCCATGCTTATGTCACAAGTCTTCAAGAGACTTTATTAAAATCTTCCTGTTACCATCCTATCTTGCAACCTGCCAACACAAATATGGGATGCAATGTATGAAACAGACTCAAAATGAGATCCAAAAAAGAAATTATTCATGCAAGAAGCTTTTAAATGGTATAGGATTGATTCCTGTAGTGTAAGCATGCCTTCTATAATCTCAGTTGCATATGTAAAACCACAGCATTAGGAGAATTACTGTTGATCTGGGTCAAACCTGAGTCTTTTTGTTCACATGATTAATTCAGATGCAAATGATTTTCAACAATAAAAATGACAGGGGTCAACATATGGATAAAATTCAGATAATTTGGTAACAAATAGAATGATTATTTGATATCTGTATGTCTTCACACTGTCTCCTTATTTGCAATATCTGCAGAACTTCATATAGCCACAAAACAAAATATTATGGTGTAGTTTAATTTTGAAGTAGATAAACATCATGACTTTACTGATGCCCTCTAGTAGGTGTGCCATTTCAATAATGGAGGCTGCGTTTTCTCTAGAGAGCACATCCTGAAAATACTCTATTATAAATGTCCTTCACTAAATAAGAGCAGGGTTTAGTCATTCTAATCTGAAGTCAGGCAGAAGGTAAGAAAGGCTGGCACCCTAAAGACTAACTGGTTCATAGAGGCATGAGCTTTCATAGGCAACAATCTACTTCATCATATAGCATCTGACAAAACAGGCTGTTGTCTACAAAAAGCTCATGCCTCTATAAATCCGTTCTTCTGTGCCATGCTACCCTATCTTCTGCTTCACCTAAATCAAAGGAATTGTAGCAGTTCTTTATACTTCTTTACCCTTATGGCCCAATTTTTAACTTGGCCATTTGGCCACATGAGTGTGGATGTTTGGTTCCCCGGTGACAACTGGCAGTGGGACCCCTTGTGCTGCCACTAGTTGTCCCTGGGGAACACCTGTGTCACACGTACTCTGGAATGTGGCAGGTGGATAGGTGAGGCTGGCCCCAGCAGCCTTACCTGGAGTCCTGAGGTCCTCTTGGGGCTGTAACAGCAGCGATCCTGCCACTTAGAGCCTGGCTGGCAGCCAGAGTGTAGCTCCAGCTGGCCATGCTCTGGTTTTGAGCAGTGCACGTTGCCCTCATGTGCACCACTCTATGCTTTTTTTGTGTGGGTTTTGACTCCTGGATATTCAGGGGTCAGCCCCCTCCCGGCGCTGCTCCCTTGCAGTGCAGAGAATGGCTGAATGTGCAGTCTGCGGCATCACGTACCACATTGCTGCACTTGTCTGGACGTGGCCTAGGTGTGGTATATCCTGTTTTCTGAATTTGCTTCATAACCCACTTCCAACATCTAAAAAACTTACCAATACATAACCATCTTCAATGTATAAGTTCATGAACAGCAGGCAAATAACAAGGACTCCTAAGAATGATACTGCTGATCGCTTCCGTAAGCATCTCATTTTATCCAAATATTTCAATGTGAGTCTCATGTGAAGTAGTACATATGGTGTCTCCTACAAGAGAAAACCACAATATAATTATAAAAAATTGGAATGGGAATTAGAGAACCATCAAAAGTTCACACTTGAATGGATTTAAACACAAGATGTACTCCAATATGGCATGCATTAGTCTGATTCTCAAAAGTTCAAGTAGGGAAACTCAGATACTAGATAGTCCTGGATCGAAACGTCATCTGGAATACTTCACCTGGATGCGTTTACCAATAGATCTCTTCTGAAAAATGTTTTTAAGAATGGCAAATTTTCACTTACAGAATTACTCCCTAAACAAGTTCAGTCATATCTACTGGGCTGAGTAACAATACAAAATATTTCCCTCTTTTTAATTCAGTTCGCTCTGAACAGCTAACACAGCTATGAGAAGCAGGCTGTAGATGGTATGCCATATCATGCCTTATGAGCATGATTTTTTAAGCAAGTAGCACTGAATGATTGCGTCACTAGACTATTAGGAACTGAAGAAAATGGGGTTGTAAATGAGGGACTACTAAAACGTTATTACTGGATATAATGTATGAGAGAGGATCTCATCCTGGCTGTTAGAGCACAAGCTAAATTTGTGCAGTACATTTCAGACGGAGATCACTGTAATACTGTTTGAAAATAGGCTTCTCAAAACAATATGGAGGGTGGAACTGAAGAAAATTTTAATAACTTTTGCCTGAACATAAGATTACAGGTATATTCATACCAAGCAAACAGAAGAGAAGGATGCTATGCTTATGGCATAACTTTCTGTATACAAAGCATTCTCCAGACAACATACTAACACATTTGATTTTTAAGCACTAGATGGCAGCACGGACACACATCTGACTTTCTATGGCCATGCCTTATAAGTGGCATTTTTTTCTAACCAGCCTGCATGAATGCCTTGTTTTGTTTAGCATACTTATAGTGTGAGCTTTTAGAAAACATTTCTTTGCTTTTTTTGTAGAATGGTTTCTTTGTTACACTTCAATTTCTAGCTTTTAACATAGTACTATAGAGTGCTATGCAAGTGAAATTTGTGAGAAGAAACATAAAGTTTGTTTTCTGTATTTGTGATTTCAGCCTGCCTCTTCTACAAGAGAGATTTGGCTCTTTATGTAGTGAGACACCTGACATTCATTACGGTATTTTAACATATTAACCACTCAGTTTTACTACAGCCAAACAAAGCGAAGGCCCTGATTTTTATACCTTAGCACTAATTCTGGAACCACACTTTTGTCTACAAACATAGTGCTTTTTTGCCTACATTTCAGTGCGTAGCTTCATATACAATGAAATAGACACCCTAGTGTTATAAATGCATCTGTTTTTGAAAAAACAGGTCTTAAAAGTTGGGTGTGTGCAGATACTGCTCTACCCAGTCTCTGACTGCCACATGATCATAGATCAGGGGAGGTGTGTGCAGGTGTTTGCAGGTGCTGGGGGCTATGCTGAGAACCTGGTGTAAGTAACTTGGAGTGAGGAGAGATGTGGGTGGGGTTGGGGGGCAGCAGGTTTGAAGGGAGGGTTGCCAGGTAGGGGAGAGGGTTGGTAGGCTCAGGAGGGCTGGTGGCCTATGGGTGGGAAGCGTTATTCATTCAAGTGTGGGAGGGTAGGAGTGAGTGGCTGAGTTTTCCCAGCCCCAGGACTGTGTTCCAAATGTATTCAGACTTTCACTAAATCAGGCTAACACATTCCCAATCTAAAATAGTTCATCTCCTCAGGTGAACTGATTTAGAGTGCGCATGCCATTTTTTGCCAGTTTAACCTCCCTTAACGTCTGTACATATCAGCATTCAGATTGATGTACCCCTAGTTAAGTTGATCTAAATGTAATGCCTGCATATACCCTATTTTAATGGATAGTGACTTTCCAATTTAAATTCATGTTCATATCCTAAACAAGTTTTTTTTCTTAGTTCCTTTCTCTTCTCCATATCTCTGTGAGTGTTTATACATGAATATCTTCTTTACTTCTCCAAGTTTATGTCATATTTCTTTTGACAATTTTAACCAATATAGAACTGAGCATAGAGTGAACTAAGATGTAAAATAGCATAAAGGGAGACTTCTGCTTATTGAATCTATAATCCTTGGAAACATGTGCAATAGTGCAAAAATTGCTTTTCACATGACAACACTGCCTTCTTATACCGTCTAGCCAAAGGAACATCATTTTAAATATTACTCATAAGAAAGCAACCATTTAATTACAATCTTTTCTTTCGTCTCATTGAAGGCAATGGAAGTCTTATGCCCTTTTTAGTCACCTCAGTCACCGTTACAGCACGATGTGTTCTGTCATTCTTAATGGCTTGCTAAACTGAACACAAGGCCTGAAGTATGAGACAGTGTAGCTTTGCCTAAAGGAAAAGTGCAAGTCAAAGAAGTCATTCCCTTCTTCCCTCTTGTTCCACAGCAACAGTAATTTTCCTTAGCTCCTTACCATATACAGGCCCTCCATATATACACACACAACTACACCTACTAATGGCCATCACTTTGAAAATGGATTCAAGCTACTGCCCACTCTCCATCCTCTTGTACTTGCAGCCTTACAGAGAAAGATAAGTTGTTACTCTCCTCCTCCTTTTGCCTGTTATGGCTGACATACAAGGAGTCCATTCAGACAGCTTTCCCCTTCCTCTTGCTGTCAACACATACTCCTCTGTGTGGCCAGCTACTTACTAGTCTTATCTAATCAATATAACAAATACATTTTATACAGAGATGGAATATACAATGTATATTTTTGGTCCTCCTTGTGTTCCGCTGTATGTGTCTTTCAGTACTATCTCTAGCCAGCACAAGAGAAGTTGCTTATTTGCAGATAAACTAATGGCTGTCAGAAATGACAGGAGCATTATTTTTATACTGTAATCTTTCCATATCAGCCATGCAGCTTTTTCTATCAAAAACACAAAGGCCCTATTCTAGATACACTGAAGTATATCCACTGCCACATTTATTACTCCCACAAAATCCAGAGATAACACACTAAAAGTGGATTAGCAAACCCCTTGTGAACCTTACTTACAATCCCTGAATTGATTAAGACTCTCTGAAGCAGGATCTTCACCCTTCAAGCCTTCTGATGTACTGTTCCACCATTGTGTAGCTGAGTTGCTTTGCTTGCATTTCTTAATGCTTGTCCAATTTGTTTTTCTGCTTTTCTTTTTGGAAGGCTGCACATGATGCCCTGAGGGCTATGCTCAATTCTCCTTATAAAAGTGCGAGATTCAGACATGGAAAAGGCTTCCAGAAAAGAAAAAAAATAGTCCAATAAAAATATAAAGGATTTTTTACATGGTTAACATTAAATTTTGCATGAAGGTCTGTGATATTTGTGTTAGCATCTGTCATATTCTTTCCATAGAAGATGAAACAAAGAAACCACAAGTTACTGTATACATTTGCAGCTGTGGTTGGCAGTGAACTCGAAAATTGTAATGGATAGACAATTCCATAGGGCTCAGATAGACTCCCAACAAGATTCGCTGTCTGTCTTACTGAAAGCTTGAAAGTACATATAAAATGTTTAAAGCTGACAGGTAGGAGGTTTGCTGTCACTAGAAGCAGGGAAGTAAAAATTGTTATGGGGAAGGGAAATTCTAGTGTTTAAATTCAAGATGAGGCAAGGAAATCTAACTGTTAAAAGCAGGGGATTTAAATTGGAGTAAGCAACCTCCTCTTTGGACTGTCTGCTCTAATTCATATGACAGAATATAGTACAAAGCATATGGTTTAAAGGACTTCATGTTCTGAGGAACTTACATTCTAGATGCTGGAAAGACACTTAAAAATCAGGAAGTGTGGATGGGTACAAACCTAATCATACTTAGCAGTGCTGGAAGGCCAGGCAAAAGAATTGGGCCCTGGATACTGTACTAGTCACATGGGGAGTGGGAGACTGTCAAACAAAGATGACACCTTTAAAATGAAGTACAGAGATGGGAATTAGAAAAAAGGAGGGCAGAGGGCAGATTGGGCAGCACAGTGGGTTCAGGAGAGCCATATAGGAAGAAACAGGGTTCAAAGTAGAAACATGTACAGAGCTGTACAGAACTGTACAGAGCTATACAGAACTGTAAAACTGAGGATGAAGAACTCAAATGTGATGTGTAAAGACAAAGTTGGTGAAGGGCTTCAGAGATGGACTTAGATCAGTGGAAATAAGGATATTTTAACTGTATATCCTGGAGAATAGAGAATGGAGATATAAAAGAGAGATATGAAGTGGAGGAGGTTCTGGTAATCAATTAAAAATGACTAATGACTGAGAAAAGGTATTGATTCAAATGGCAGAAAGTCACCTTATGAATCATCAATACTACTAGTTATGTTTTATCAGAGGAAAAGATAGGATTTCGAAATATAGAATAGATGATGAAGTGACAGGCAAGATCCTGGATGGTAAGTAAATGGCACAGAGCAAACTGGAACTGCTTTGACATTCTGAGCATCACTGAAAAGGAAGTGTCTGTCATGGTAAAGGATTAAAAAGGGGAGAAAACAGGGTGCTGGGACATTCTGAGTCAGAGATTACAGAGGAAGACAGAGAAAATGGGAAAGTGAGGAAGAGGTCAGGACCAGAGAAAGATTTGTGAGCTATCAGTATACAAATGGAAAGTAAGTAAGTAAATTAAGAAGGAACAGTTCAGAGGAGTAAGGCAGACTGAAGACTGAATCCAAAGGTTGTGGGGTTTGGAGTGGGGAACAATGTGTAGTTACCAAAAGAGAAGTAGCTACTAGATGTGCCAACTCCCCTCCCCGGACCCACCCTAAGTTAGTGACACTGGGTTCCTGGCATGGCTTCTAGCACTGACAAGCATATGCACACACTGCTCCCAGTCTACAATCACACAGCTTAAAATATGCCGCATGACTGTAGACTGCGTGCAGTGAAAGTCTACACGTACCGTAACCCTTTAGCTTGAACCCTGGTAGCCCAGTCTAAACGTGAATGGTTGGCTGAACTTCCAGTGGTGCAGTTACCTGGACATACAAGTCTTTAGCAC